AAAAAGGTACAAAAGCCCAGATGTTCATCCATTGTTCCATCAAGGTCATCAACTTCGCATCGTCTACGCCCTGTCCTAGGATATACCGTTTTGCGCCAGCTGTGTGACCACAGAAAAAGATAAGAAAAGGACCAAGCCCATGTACGCCCAAGATGTATAAAAATGAATCGCTACAGTAAGCATGTCAACTGCCTCGAGTCCCTCAGTTGTTCCTGTCGGTAGTCTTTTGAGGCCTGTAGTTTGGCATCTCTTTGAACCATCCCTGTGCCTCGTCATACTTGTAGGCATGAAATTCGATTCCGTACGGCTTCGGCTCGATAGCGTAGAGCATGCCCAACGGGACATCCAGATCGGCGATGGATTCCCTCGTCAAGTCCATAAAATATGCCATCAGGACACGGCAAACAGATCGATGGCCAACGATGAGGACGTGGTCGGTTATACGTTCGATTTCGCGTACCATATCACGCAACCTACTTATGACTTGTAGGTACCCTTCACCGCCAACACCAGGATAGATATAATGAAGCTTATCCTTGGACCGCTTCTGGTACTCCTCGGGATACTGCTGCGCAATTTCCTCGTAGGTCATACCCTCGAATGTGCCGGCATTGAGCTCGTTTAGCATTTCCCATTGCTTGACGTCGTAGTCATCGTCGGCATCAAAATACTCGGCAGACTCGATGCTGCGTTTGAGCATCGAAGTCCAGACACAGAAATTCTTGTCGTCCAACTCCTGATACAGTTCGGGGTACGGAGGCGTGTGGTCGCCGGGTGCTGGCGGGAAGGTCGACGACGCGATCTTGTTCTTTTGCTCGATAAGCCATTCCTTACGCTTGAAGGTGATGAAGTTGTAGAGAGCCTGGGCGTAGTAGTGACCACGTTCAGTCAGACCCGAATCGCCGCCCAACTTGTGCAGTTGGTTGTCCTGGCTCTGGCCATGTCGAGTAATCCATATCTGCCTGGGTGCGAGGTTGAATGTGGTCAGATATGAAGCGATGCCGGCCGTCAAGAAGCCTCGGAGTCTATGGTGGATAACTTTCCGGCCCACATCGATCATCTTGGGTATGTTAGCACAAGACCTGAAACGGCACGTCTAGCTCAAAGAGTAACCAAACCATACCTGAATGTACTGCAAATCATTCTCTTCCTCCCACTTGCCGAGCGGCTCGTAAGCACTCTCGTATGCTTTGACACGCTCTCGAAAGTCCGCAAGTGACTGGTGGGGATCCTTATCCTTATAATCAGGACCGGCAAGCTTCAGGCGCATATTCGCCTCCAAGAGCTGTTTCATTGATTAGTCGAGGGCTTTATCAAAACAGCAAAAGGCACAAATAAGCTCACGTTTTGATCGTGACATATGCTCTCGATGAAGAGGATGCCCAGTTTGGGCTCCCTTTGTTGGATATGTTCGACAAGAAGCTTTCTCCGATGGACATTGCTGTTGGTGGCATCAAGAATACCCACGGAACCGCCCTGGTGCAGGAGGTAGTTCAGAAGCTCATCGAGGGTGTCAATCGCAACCTGCTCACGAAGCTTCGCTGCAATCTCGTTCTTCGGGTCGAAGAACTTTGCTGACTGATCGATTGGATCCTTGGGGGCTAAATCATCTCGGTGCTCGTTCAAGTCCAGGGTTGTCGGTTCATCCTCTTCCAGCGTAATCTTCGGGGCATCCTTGCCTTTTAGGAGGATGGTGGCTGCTCTTTTGGGTGCGTCGTGGGGATCGTGGTCATCGTGGCCATCCGCCGAAGTCGGAGCAGGCTGATCACCCTTGTGGATGACGCCAGCGGCGATACGTCGGCGGTTCCCCACATTGAAGATCTTAGTGTTGTGTTGCTGCCATGAGAGGTAGCGCTGAATTTTCTTGGTAATGTAGGATTTTCCTCTTGCTGGTAGGCCGACCATGATGACTACCAACTTGGCGGCAACATCTCGTTCGGGAATTCTGCCATCGGGAGAAACCCTCGATCGGGTCATACCCGGAATGTTAAGCGTCGTTGCATGTGGTCGTATCCTGGGTGTTACGCAACCCGAATTCTGGCGCATGGGCGGGCTATAGCAAATTACAGTTAGCCTGTGTGAGTCGAGCGCGGACCCCACATCATCACCAACACTGATCGTTGGGATGCACCACCAGAGTACGCGCATAGAAAGTGTATGAGAATTAAACGGGAAGATAAGTTCAGCCTCATGCGGGGTGGGTTACACATACATTCGCGGCGATCCAGGAGCTGTCGAAGGGATGCTCTGGCTGTAAGGGGAGTTGTAAGCTATCGGGTTATGCTGACCAGTGAAACCAAAACCACCGATACCACCGTCCAAGTCGTTGAGCGATCTCAGCGCATGCGAAAAGGCAACGGCGGGCGCTGGTAAAAGAGTGTCATGGTGTTCTTTTTCATGGGCTTTTTGCTGTTGGTTGTCCTGCTGTTGTCGATTCGTAGAAGCCTGAACAGAGATCGTCGGCGACGAGGGGGTGGTTGCGGCGGAAGCCATGAGTTGACCCTTGATGGCCAGTTTTCGCAGTGACTCCGGGGGAGACGAGGTCCTGCCAAAGTCTTCGTGAGAGGGAAGGTCAGCCGAATTTTCGGATGCTGGTGTGCAAGAGGGTGCGGAGGTGGAAGCGTTGGGAAGATGAGAAGCAGCCTGGGTCTGCAAGAGAGCCCAGAGTAAATAGCTAGAAGAAGGGTGGTGGTGGTGGTGAGGTTGGACCGGATAGTAACCTTTGCTTGGAAGAGTGCCGGTGGAAGCTGGTCTGTCGGGAAGATGTACGAATTCTGGGGAGGACGATAAGGACTCGGATTGCGGTGTCATCGACGCCGGGGTATCTGGCGGCGTCGGCGTGGACCACTTGCGCGTGTCCGTGGCTCGTGAAGAAGGCACGGTTTGAGTGTCCATCCAGATTTCTTTTTTTTTTTTTTTTTGGAGACGGTGCGTGGTGAGGTGGTGAGCTGCGGATTGACGTATATGGCTTTGGGCTGCTGCGACCGAAAGGGTCAAACTAGGTGCGTTGGTGCGCGAGGCCGTGCCAGCGAAGGAACGCTTTGTATTTTGCCTGGTGTGGTTCAGTCCAACCTTTTGGGGGTTGCTGCTGGAGTCGATGACGGGAAACTGGAGCAGGCGCTGGAGTCGATGGTTGGGGACGCAATCGTCTTTTTATTCCACGCCAATCAACTTTGTTAGAGCGTCAAAAGGCCCAGTTGCTGGAGCTGGGTATCGTGGGAAATCGGGCAGGGTCAATGAGCGAGAAATCTTTTTTCTTCGCACTCAGCAGACCTCAAGTTCAAGGCCGAGCGGCGGCGATGGGTTTTTGTGCGGTAGTTGAAAGGTATCTGGCAGTGATGTTTCCTTGGGCGGACCTGGAAATTTTGGAGAAAAAGATGGATCTCAGCACAGGAAGACCATGAAAATTGTTTATATGAGGCCAACTTGCCACTAACCCTGTCGGGCATAAGAAATCAGATGCGCAGACTTGATGATGATAAATGCGGTACTGCGTGAGTACAATTTTGAGTTTTTGAGCGGGCATGGACAGAGGGGCCCGGACCAGACCTGCTCCCGCATGGAGCAAGAACTCAAACGTGGATCCTGAAAGTCGTCAAGGACTCCGCTACATATGCCAGACGGGGACCCTGGTCCCTCACCGTGGAACCGGCTGGAGGAGTGTCGACGTCTGCCGTGCTGCAGATGGACGTCGTGCGTGGGATGCACTTCCTGTTAGGGCCAGATGGGGGTGCTGTCAGTGTCAGGAATGCGCTAGCAACTTACAGTAATGGGGTGATGACTGGACCCTCCGGCCCATCTCGTCAAAGAAAAACCTGAACTTGTTGAATCATCTTACCACGACCATGAACCGCCACACGGTACCCAATGACGACTTCGGTCCGTCCTCGCCAGCGCAACAGCTCTGCCGGGGGGGCTGCGCAACGCCAAGCACACCTTGAAATTAGCGCTGTTCCACGCAAACGACAAATGGAGGCGAGAGTGTCGCGGTATAAGTCAGTCGATTCAGCTCGGATCCAAGACTGCACTGATTTCGACACGGAACTGTAATCAGGTCGAGTATGACTGCGGTCTTGTCGGCGACACCAATGAAAGGCTTGGCTGCTTGGCTGTGGTGTTTGCGAGATTAACGAGTCTAAGTGACGATCGGCTGTCTAGGGTCCTTTCTACTCGGTGGTGGTAAAGGTTCTGGGCGCCGATGATGTTGCTGATCTTGAATATGATGTCCAGAAAACTGATACCGAGAGATATTTGTCAATGGAAGATGACACTGGGAGTGCAAAGGCGTATTTTTACCCCCTGGCCAGAGACAGCCGCTACCCTCGTCCAGTCCTTATCAACGTGCATATGGTCAGTCCTGATTCGATTGTTATGCGGGCATCAAAGCCCAGGGCGACACTTGTGTGCAAAGAACAAAAGCTGTCATTGCGAGAGGAACCATCCGTCACCACAGGATGGAGGTGCTATTGGCCGGAGAGCCAGGCAAACAGGGGAATTTCACTACGCACATCCATGGAAGGACGCAGTCATTACCAGACGCCTTATCGGGGATCCGAAAGTTAGCGCTTAGGACGGACTTGAACATGAAAATAGATGGGTGCGGCGGATTGGTCTTGGCCGCTTTCTGACTGTGGGCGGTGGCTGCATTCTTCTCGGAATATCACTACAGTACGCTTTGTCCAGGGTTTGGTCTACGGGCACACGCAGCACTCGGCCGTGATGGATGTCATCCAATATTGACCACGGCCAACCAGGAACTGGAACATTCCCTACGGTACTTTCCATTCTGGTCTCTTTCCGTCGGTGAGTAACTCCGTGGTTCTCCAGATGCTGGCGCTCCGGCTCCTGGTATAGACATGGAAGGTCAGCACCTCGATGATGGGATCCGGCTGGGCGGTGCCACAAACGGGCAGATTCAGCGGCTCGGCAGTGATGCTCCCCATCTTCGTCCGATGTCTCCTCAAGATCGCCATTAGGATTGTAGTGTATGGCGTGAACAACATGTAGAAAGGCCTCCTCCGTCTTCGGAGTTCCGATATGTAGAGTACGTACAGAAGGCATGTGTACGTGCTACTACACAGTAAGTACGTGTGAGTGTCAATAGACCTGTAGGTTGATAATGATGATGATGATGATAGAGTGTCGTTGTATAAGCGCCGCATCAAGGCGTGAATGATGCAAAGTGATATAGATTACCATGTTGCCCGTCATGGGAAATGCGCCAAAGTGGAAATCTGCGGGCTGGACGAGTGCCCGGGAACCTAACTCTACCTCAATCTACATCTTGCAGCGGGCTGGATTTTAATGCAGCTTGTCCGCTGCTGCCGGTGTTCGTTTGTGCTCTGGTACTTGACCTGACGTGTTGGGTGCCATGCAGTTTTGGAGGCAGGTGAGGATCAAGGAAAGGTCCAAGATTGTAGACAGGAATTGTGTACAACAACGACTTGTAGGTAGCGGAGTGTCAGGCGGCCACAGTCCGGTGGCATCCAAGCAAGATGGACCCCCACAAACCGGCGCCATCGTGCTGCACGACAGCGGAGTGTTCAGTTTAAACATTGGATGACAGGGCGCCACCAAACTCTACACTAGTGTCCGGTTGTGGGCGTGGTGATGCTACCACATCCGCACAGGGTAAGAAGCTTGGCTAGCTTAGCTTCATCTCAGTTCATGTTGAGCATTCGCTATGCTTGAGCATGATCGACGGGAAGGACAACGGGCGGCACCACCTGTCTAATTGCCGGAGGCGAGATCTTAGATTGGGGCCGCTTGGCAACGCCCGAAGTTGTGAAAAAGATGATTATTTGACTCGCCAAGAGGGCTTCCTTTATTGGTAAGATGAAGAGATCGACTGTGTATGGGGGGCCTGAAGAGAAGATGAAGTGCGTGTTGGTCGAGACCTCTCTGGTAATGAAACAAGTATCGTTTCATTATGTCGACAAAGTGCAAGCCATCATCGGCAAAGGTTCTCGAATTTCTCTCTTCACGGGACAACCATCTCAATCCCGCCAGGAAAGTCGCACGGGTTCAATCGCCGACTTTTAATTTGTCTACACCCCGACACTTCAAGACTGGGCCTCTTTGTAGTGTAGGATAGTCACCATGTGCGGGCATTACAACCTCGTATACCATAAATGGAGCTCTTTTCTACTCCTGTCCAACGTCTTCACACTCTGTCACATACCTACCTAATTCCAAAAATGCTTTGAAGAAAAAGTATGGACCTACCTATGTATATAGCGGCTCTACTTCTCACCTAGTGTACAAGGCTTAATCCTGCTGACGGGATTGGTTGCTGGGCTACATGTGAAAGCGGGACCCCGCAGCATACACTATACAGTACACTATTGACTATACAAATTTTATAGATAGCGGGGCAGGCAAAGGTCAGTTCATGGACCTCAAAACTTCGATTTTGATCAATGACATGGAACAACGAACAAAAAGCCCCTTTCGTTGCCTGCCGAAGAAGCAATCGCTTTCTGCCGTTGAGGTTGTTCCCTCTGGCGGGAAGCCCGGTCCCGGTCTGCGCCAGTGCAGGTGGAATGCGGACGAAAATCGATCAAATGTTTGCGGCCTCCCGTGACGCGGGGTGGGTGGCCCTGACCCTGACATTCAAATGTTCGGAGATACAGTCTCTGGTGGGCTGTCCGCTATCCGCTCAGGTGGGGCATATTTTTTTTTGTCTAGATCAGCCCGGTCCCGACACAGACGGCGACACGACCCAAGGACCTCCCCAGCCACGGGCAACGCGCACGCAAACGGGCAATAAGCGACGGCAAGCTGGAAGCGCATCTCTGTGCTTTCACTCTTTGCGACATTGCACTGCAGTTTGCTTTCCTCAGCTGCTTGGTTGACGACGGGAAAACATTGTCTGTTCTTTCCCGGCTCTGGACCCTCCTTTCGTCTTGCTGGACAGGTACTAGCCACTCTCACCACTATGGTTCCCTCCCTTCTTCCTCAATCGGTCCAGTCTCGCTCATTCACCCGCGACCAAGTTCTCCTCAAGCCTCTACCTTGCCAGTTTTGCTCGACCCTCTCTTCAGCCTGATCCCGAGAACCTGCTGCCATCATACCTCTACGCTCCGGCTCCGAACGATCTCTACACCTTCAGTACGACGGTTTACCGACTTCGAGTTTCGCACGCACTCCATTCCCTTTCCAGCCGACATCATCCAAATATCAGAATTCGCCGGTCAAAGAGCTCTACACACTTTTGCAAAGATGCCTCACGAGGACAAGTCCATGGGGGCAGTCCTTGCTGCGCAGGATCCCATTGTCCAAAGCCTCGTACGCGAAGAAGTCGACCATGGAGTCCTTATTCCCCTCAAGACAACTCTCGAACTAAGAGACGACCACGTTACGGGCCGGGTACTGATCACCCGAACTCCCGTCAAGTCGGCGAACCCTACTATCAGGTACGTCCCCTGCTGCAGTCCCCCAAGCCTCTTACCTCTCCGTGTCACACAAGCTGACGTCTATTGCAAGCCTCTTGCGCGATATGCTACCTGAGGAAATCGTTAAGGGCGTTCCACACCTACGCAGATGCGCCAAGCCAGGCGACCTACCCGCCCATCTCAAGACCCAATTCATGAACGAGACGCCCCAGAGCCGACAAATCCACACGGGCAAGTCGAACTGGATCTACATCATTCTCGGTCCCGAGTCCCAGCTGTCGCGCGACGAGCTAGTCCAGGCCCTCAAGACGATCGAGGGACTGGAAGAAGACATCTTCATCCGCAGTGTCCCTGTTCCCATGGTCGCTCCCACCTCACAGATTCAGGCCGCCATGTGGTCCCAGCACTTCTGGCCCACTCTTTACCGCAAGAATAACCCTCTTGGACCGCACCCCGCCATGGTATCCCGAAGCACAGAAGAGATTACAGACGATGCTGCGATATGGATGACATTGGCCCACCAGGTGGCCGAGCAGACTCAGGCCGCTGGCCACGGAGAACCCATGGGGGCTTGTATCGTCCAGCGTGAGGAAGGCAACAAAGTCACCCTTGTCGCCCTTGCTGCTGACGCTCGCTGGCGCTGCCAGGGAAAGACGGGATGCACTGGGAATCCTATGGCGCATTCAGTCCTTCGTGCCATCAGTATGGTTGCCCAGAAGCTAGTGCGTGCGGAGAACAAGAGGACCGACACGTTCCAAACCCCAATTCTCGAGTTTGAGGCCTTCCAAGACAAGCCTCTTCTTGACGACGAGCAAAAGGTCTTTGAGATTGACCATCCGTCTCCTGATGGGTACCTCTGCCACGGGCTCGAGATGTACCTTACGCATGAGCCTTGCGTAATGTGCTCCATGGCCATCCTTCACTCGCGCATGGGCAAAGTCGTCTTTCGTCATCGTATGCCGCTGACGGGCGGGCTCTGCGCTGAGAACCGTGGCAGCGATCACCCATCGCTTAATGGCGCGGATGGTGGTCGTGGCCTTGGGCTGTTTTGGCGCCGAGAACTCAACTGGAGCTTGGTGGCCTGGGAATGGGAGTCTAATGGCTGCTTAAAGCCGCTGCCGGTCAACCAGATGATCCACGCCTGATGGTGTTGTGAGGAATGGAGGTGAAGTAGGTGGTACGCATTACAGGAAACTGCTATAATCTCACGGGGCACGCTTTGGTATGCACTTTTTTGGGGGGAGAGGGTTGCGGAAACAGATGGCAGAGAAATTAGGTAGTCCTCTCTGGCCTCTCTGTCGGTTCTTGATGTTATTGAACAAGCATTTTTGAGCAAACAAAAGGGTCGGAAACAGGGAACAGAGGGTCACGGCGTTTGGCAAAGGTTTTACCCCCCATTGTCCTTTTAAGTTGAGCATCAGTTGCATGGTAGCGAGAGCCCGCAAGCAGGCGTTACGAAAGAACAAAATTACTGGACTGGCCGTTCTGGTCTAATGAGGTAGAGATATTTGCTGCTGGAATACTGCATGGATGGGTTTGAACAAATGGAAGAGCTGGCTCGGCGTCATTGCTTACAATGAGAAACTAAATTCCCTTTAACGGAGCAAATTTGTATTGTGTTTTGTGTGAGATAGGTTATGGCATATTGGTGGCTCCCCTTCCTAGCGGTTGACGTCTTAGAGCATGCGGCAGATATCAAATCCCCAACTTTTGTCAACACTTTTTGTCACAGCAGCCAAGTCGCACTGGCATCTGTGGGGACCCTATCTTTACCTCTAAGTATTGAACAGAATTGCACCGCTAAAGGGATATTCTTTCATAGCATGCTGAGCTGGTGCAATTCCCGCACCGCCTTTGGATGTTTACTGAGAATAAACATGGATATGACTGGTGTGCGTTTGTAACAGGATGACAATTCTTATATCCAATATCTCCACATTGCCCTGGTTCTGACTCGAATTGCATGTCTGGTGCATGTCAAATATTGCGAAGGCGCCGAAGCGTCAACTGAGTCGAGGAACCAGCGTGCCGGTAACCGCCAAACTTTTTCCAAGTTTGAAAATATAGGGACTTCGAGTTGTGACCTCATTGTCTCTTTTCGGCCTTCCCGCCGACTGCGACTGACGGCCAAATCAGATATGAGACGAACTGAATTGAAGGTTACGCTAAAGGTATGGGACTGTTGTTCAATGGGACAAAAGCAGGGCCCGTCCCGCTCCGGGCTACTCGTCAGGTCGTCAGCACCGACCGTCTGACAGTAGTAGTGGTTATTGGGATATTGACTTGTCTACGGACTATTAATTTGAACGGCGGGAGCGACTTTCATCTGGCTTACTTGTATTCCATTCCTCCCAACTGATCAGCTACATAGTCTGAATCACAAAAGCCATATGGCGTTTTAATTCAAGAATTCAATACGAATCTATATCTTTCCCACTAGTCAGAGGTTGGGTTTGAAAATCCCAAACGAGTGTGTGACTTTTGTTCAATAGGACAAAAGCAGGGTCCGTCCGCTCGGGCCCGCTCCGGGCCCTGCACTACGTACGCAGCGACTCGACGCCGCTGCAGTAGCGAACTAGCCTCATGGATCCCTGTTATTTGCGTTGCTTCCTCAACTTCGTCCATTCCTCCGTTTCTTCCCTCATCATAGAAAGGACCACAGCTGACAGTTAGAAGCAATTCGCTGTCTGCAAAGAAATCCCAATAGAATCCGACTCCGTTACTTCAATCGATCAATCTTTACATCTCTTTTTGCCGAGCACATCTTCTCCAGTAGTCTTCCCCATCTGTGTCACCGGGACCTCACCGCCGACGACACCGCCAACCTCGTACTGCGAAGAAGCCGAGAACACACCCATTTGAAGTAGCTGGATAGTCGGCTTCGCGGAGTGAGACTTCTGTCCACAAACTGGCAAGCAAGGCTCGTTCCCATGATCTGCCTGGTCGAGACTGCTTTCCTCACCCAATCCGTCTTCCGCTTGATGGCTCAATAACATATGCTTCCCACTGCCGTGCAAATATTCAGCCCGGTTGACGCCTAGACTAGAGTCTAGACGTACAAATACTATCTACACATTGTTGTAGAACTTCCTCGACAAGAATATCTGGTCCACAGGGGTCCTCCTCTAGATATCAAGACAAGCATTGCGATTCGCAGTCATCGTCTTGGCTCGAACTTGGCTTTTGTGAGACAAGAGTCTTGGAACTCTTAGCAGTCTTGGAGGACCGATTTCAAGATGCCAGCCTTAGCCATCACCAACTTCAACATCGTGTTGAGCGTCCTAGGAGGATGGATCTCGCTCTTCGGGCTGGTCTCATACCTCTGCAAGGAAAGCTACTACATGTCCGAAGCCTGTAAGTACATCCACAGACTTGGACGTCCATACGCCCGACTACTTGTACTGACCTTCGTTCTCGAATTGTAGTCATCTCCTTATTGGTAGGCGTTGCTTTCTCCCCTCGCGCCGCCAACTTCATACGTCCTCTTGCCTACGCCGACTATGACCCCCTCACATTGCAGGCGATTACCCTCGCTTTCTCCCGTCTTGTCCTAGGCGTACAGCTTGTCCTTGCCGGCGTTCAACTTCCTAGCAGATACCTACATCAACAATGGCGCCCACTCTCCATGCTACTTGGCCCTATCATGTTCATGATGTGGATCGCGACCAGCCTGCTCGTCTGGGCTCTCGTGCCTAGCTTTGGCCCCAACGGCATCGGCTTCTTGAAGGCACTGGTTGTCGGCTCGTGCGTGACGCCCACGGATCCGGTTCTCTCCAACGTCATCGTCAAGGGCCGATTCGCCGATCACAATGTTCCTAAGGAGCTGCAGCGGATCATCGTGGCCGAGTCGGGCGCCAACGACGGACTCGGCTACCCCTTCCTCTTCTTTGCGCTGTATCTGATCAAGTACGTGGGACACGACTACCCCGGCGACGGCGCGGGCTCCGGCAGGGCCATGGCGCTGTGGTTCTACGAGACGTGGGTGTACACCATCATCCTGTCCATCGTCTACGGCGCCGCGGTTGGCTGGATCGCCAAGGAGTTGCTCCACTGGGCCGAGGAGCGCAAGTTCGTCGACCGAGAGAGCTTCCTCGTCTTTGCTATCTCACTGGCGCTCTTCATCACGGGAACGTGCGGCATGATTGGCAGCGACGACGTGCTCGCGTGCTTCATCGCGGGTAACGTGTTCACCTGGGACGACTGGTTCCGGCTGGAGACTCTCGATGACTCGCTGCAGCCGACCATCGACATGTTGCTCAACGTCACCATCTTCATGTGGTACGGCGCCGTGTGCCCCTGGGAGATGTTTCTGCGCAACGGCGTGGGCATGCAGATCTACCGGCTCATCGTGCTCGGGATCCTGGTCCTCCTGGTGAGGCGCTTGCCGTGGGTGTTCATCGCGCACAAGATCCCCTGGGGCCGCAAGATGATCCCCCAGATCGAGGGCGCCAAGCAGGCCATCTTCGTGGGCTTTTTCGGGCCCGTGGGCGTCTCGGCCATCTTTTACCTGTACATCACGCTCGAATTCCTCAGAGGCATGGACGGCCCCGACGGTAAGCCGCGCGAGGACGTCAAGGACCTGGCGGAGACGGTCACGGTGGTGGTTTGGTTCATTGCCATCTGTAGCATCGTTGTTCACGGCCTTAGCATTCCGGTAGGAAAACTCGGGTTCCATCTCCCTCGCACACTTTCCAAAGGCCTCAAGAGCGGTGCGGCGTCGCCCTCGCGCTCGGTTCTCCCGGACTCCAGGCGTTCTAGCGGCGGACCTCTGCCATCGTTTAACATTGGCGGCAGGGTCAGCTCCTTCTTCACCGGCAGGACACCGGGGTGGGCAAGGCCTGCTGAGAGGCAATCCGATGACGAGCACGGTACAGAGAGACATGGTGAGACTGACTATAGTCAGCAAGGGATTCCGTTGACGCGTCCTGTCTACAGAATTGATGGAACCATTATTCGCAATCCTCCTGCCTCTGATACCGATGCTGTGGAATCAGAGCCGAAAGATGTTGCGGCTGTGGATAACGTTGAAGGGCCATCTCAATCTCAGTCTCGGCTTGATACTACTCCTACCAACTCGAGCAACACGACTCTGGATGACGGGAGACGGGGAAGAGGGGTTTCGGCCACACCTGCGGCTCGCGAGGCAATGGGTTCCAAGTCTCACAGTCGAGCGCCGGGGCGGTCTATTTGGTTCCCTGATGATAACAGCCAGGGTGTTGGCAGCGCGCCAACACTTGTTGGTGAGAACACGGCCGGTGTCAAACAGTAGTATGCTGGGTTAGTCGGATCTCGGCGTTGATGTGTGCCGGAAGACCCCGGTGTTCACCAAGTGAAGAGAAGACTATTTGTTGAGAGGGAGGGGCTGAAGAGGAGAATGGGTGGAGGCAGATCCCGTACCAGGTTCAGCGAGAAGCTTTGGGATGTAGAGAAGATTGTAGTTTTGTTTGGGGGAGGTGAAGAGGAAGCAGATAGGACGGAGGGTATCCTAGGTGGAGAGAATCTGGAAGATCAGCGAAGTTGAACGAGGGGCAATATCGTGTAGATACATAGAAAAGAGGTCCAAGTCTAGTAGATAAACGTAGAAACAAATGTAGACTATGTAGTTGCCAGACTATCATTCTGACGTTACCAACTCCTCTATTTCGAATATTTTGCTTTCCTACCAACCGCACCATGTACTGTGTACCCTCTCTCCCAACAACCCACCTCGGTTCGGCTCCCGCGGCCGTCTTTGCACACCCCGCGGCCCCCGTCAACCGATCGGCATCCGCATAGCATTCCGCAGAGCACCCGACCCGCTCCACTTACCGGGCCGGTTCCGATGGCCGGGCCATCTTCGCTCAATTCTTGCTTCGTGGACGGTCCGGGTTGTATTTTACGTACAGTACATAGCCGAACATGCGGCTAGTCCTAGTGGCCAGTGTCGTGTGGTGTCATTTTGCTTAGTGTAGTTAGCGTCCGGTGCTGCGGAGGAAACTACAGTACTGTAGCGGGCATTAGGTTGGGGGGTTGTTGCCGGTCCCTACCTCTAGATTTTCCCCCTCTTTGGAGTCCGGAGCCGGGAAGTCACGATGGTGTTGCATCCTGATTTTTGTTTGCAATTTTTCGGAAGCAGTGAGAGATATCGCGCCTTTCTGACTTTCTGGAACAGTTGTTCGTTGGTTCCCGATGCGAGAAGATCCAAGATAGCGAATGCAAGATTATCGACGGTAGGCAGAAATGGGTATAACGGCATCGTGTTTACTGTATGTCATATATCGAAAGCCTCAACGGCGCGGGGAAAACAGGACGCTGACTGGCGAGAAATGTGACGGATCAGCATGGTCGGCGTAGTTAGGTACTCCTGCAGTTGTCGTTGGATGCAGGCGAGGCAGCGCCGTCACCACGAGAAAGGCGCCCCCATGGACCCATTCACGCTGTGACTCAAGCCGCTGAGAATCTCAGATTTGGTCGGATTTCGTGAGATCTAACGTTCTCTCCTCTTTCTCTTTTCACTCTCTTGCATCCTTGGCGGACAAGATTTCTAGCCGGCGTAAAAGGATGCTGTAGTGTGTGTATGTAGAAGCCGACAAGATGCTTGTGCTGTTGTGTAACTCCCAGACTCGCAGCCCAACAGCCAATATTGTCTCCACCAAAAGGAGACGACGACTTTTTCTCGACCTGTGAGGTCTGGAGGTGAGCCTCCTCTTGTGGACTTGGGGAGGAGAGGTAAGATGCAGAGCACGAGCCACATCTGCAAAGTTATCCATCGAGACTGCTCCAGCCGGAGGGAGGAATTTGGACTAATGCACGCGGTTTTTTGTTTTTTTACCGTGTGCGCACTTATATATAATGTGGGAATTGGTTGACTCCTCGGAGCAACCTTTGAGGATTTTGGTTTGGGGCCTAATGTTAGAATATCTTCTGTGGCTGATACTCTCGTCTTCCGTCGTCATTCTCCAACATCGACGGATGTTCTCTGTCGAGCTGCACGCTGTTTGGCTTGTCCCTGGGCGGGGAAACTGATGGACCCTGATCGCTTCCAACTTGGCTCCACACTAAGCCTACGTAGTAATTGATCCGTGCACCGAGCAGGGACAAGACGTCTTGTGTTGCACCAGCTTACGACTTCACAGCTTGGACTGCGTTTTGTTGTCTCCTCCAGAGGGAAAGACTGGGGGATGGAAAAAAACAAGAAAAAAAAGGAGGAGATAAAGTGCCGTGCAATATGGACGCAGTGCGACCCCGTACCAACCAGTCTACCACCTGTCCATAGACGCAAAAGATAAGGCACCTGAGCATATAAACTGATCGATGTGATGAACTTCCATGTTAAAGAATTTGTGCATAACTGGCCTCAGCGTTAACGTTTACGGAACAGATTTCGGTGGTATCCAGTTAGTGCCGCATTGCCCGCAAGTTTTGTTATCCACTGCTCAACAACAGCTCAGTTCGTTTCAGCCCTTTCGCGGTTTTTGCTTTGGAACTCCACTCTTTTTCGCCTAGCTCAGTTCGTTGTGCACTGCAGTTCATCGCTCCAGTCTCCAGCCCACCAATTTGGCACACTTTCCACTTTCGAGTTCGTCCCCTCTTCTTCCACTTCGCAGGCCAGTCACGGTCCATGCCTGCCCTGCCCTTCCCCAAATCCATTCGCAACCAGACTCTAGGTAGTCAGAGGTAGAACCCCCCAACAGCATTTGCCTCTCTCCCGCTCCCACCAGAAACTGGAAACACCATAACCTGCCTCTGCCACCCGACGACACCCACCTCTTCATCGTCCGTCTGAACAGCGTAGCCGGCAATTGCGCGCCCCTTGCATTTTGCGTTACCTACCTCAAATATCTCTCGTCGCAACAACGAGTCCCGATTACCGAATAATCCGTCGTCCTTTTCTTGTCGCTCGTCCCGTCCCCGATTTGCGCGCCTTTGCCGTCCATATCTTCCAGCTTGCTCTTCCCGCTTCGCTCGCTGCTTGCACCGTCAATTGGCCGTCCGCTTCTCATTTTCCCTTACCGCCTTTCAACCTCGATTTGCTGTCCGCGACACACATCGCCACTGGCGCCAGCCCATCATTTCTCGACTACATCATCTCCACAAGCCTGGAAACTTCGAACGTCCGTACTAGTCGTCTATTTCTCCTTTATATACTCGCCGTGGTCACTATCTCGTTGGGGGACACATTGACTTGTTGCCCTTCTGCGATCCACTCCCGCGATTCTGCCCTGCGCCGCACGAAAGCAAATGGCAACGGGCTGCCACGCGACCTGCCACGACTAGGAAAACGAGCGCCAGCAACGTCAAACACCACGGGCTAACAAGTCATCTCATCCTCGACCGACGCGGTGGAATATCATCTGGTTCAAGGCCGAACCACGACGGGTGCCGGGAACAGCCACGCCGGTTGGCTTCCGCAAGCTGTTCCATTATAGCACATCATCGACAACCTTTGCTCATTACGGTGATCGAGAGCCATGCCAAGCTTCAATAACAACAGGTCGGGGGAAAGCGACTTTACAGAATTTCTAAACTGCGATGGATATCAGCCCTGGTCGAACCAAGAAGCTCCCGATGGCGCCCTTGCTGGTGCCGATTTCAACATGAACCAGGCATGCATCTTCGATTCGGACGAGATGAGTCCCGCTGCCAGTCTTTACGGCGCATCACAGTTCACGGAAGCCTCACACTTCACGGCCGAGAACACTCCCTTCGATCTCGACCAGCAACTAGACGACAACTATCAAAGCGGCTACCGATCGCCGCGGATGCAGTTCGCTTCACCAGATGTTCAGACGAGCCCGGAGTCCGCCCCCGCCACATCAAGAAACTCGCTATCTTCGTCATCGACGTCGATGGACAGTCTCACTATTGACCCTTCCGATATCAAGCCGACCGAGGTCACATCAGCACACACCAACGAATTCTTGGCCAGTCCGTACGACAACAGTCCTAGTCCAGTTGCTTCAATGCAAGATGCATTATCACCACAGCACCCACGCAATCCACAACCTTTGATGCCATACGTAGCGCCTGAACAAGCTCAGAGGGTGAGTAATTCCATTCTTTGACTAGGTGTCCAGAAGTTCCTAATTGCTTTTGCAGCAGTACTCCATGATACAGCCCGATGCTATGGTAACGGATGGCCCACAAGAACAAGCTTCGGGGACAAACATGGCGACTGCCCAACACATGTCGCAAGTGATCCCGGGGCCGGTTGCCAATTTGCAGATGCATGGTTTGCCAACGCAGTTCATTGTACCGCCCTCGCACTGGCCGGCGGCCTTTACCTATAGTATGCCACATATGCCTGATGGTCGTGGCATTTCCTTCATGCCGCACGGGATGCCCGTGAATCTTCCCCAGATGCCTAGCGGCTTTGGCGGTCCTCCGTATCACCTGGACGTTTTATTGATGGACCGGATGCGGAAGAAAGACGGATCTGGAAACGTCAACGGAGAAGTCGAGATCCCCAAAATGAGAGTTGAGACACAAGCCAAGTACAGACTCGCCCTCTTTCCTCTCCCTCACGGCGTCAAGAAGCTTCATCTTCCAACGCAGTACATCAGCAAGGTCAAGCAAATGGCTCGACCTCTTCCGCCGCCATCGCCAGAGAGGCTGGAGTTGCACGCCGTCGTTGTTTGCACGAGTGCAATGGAGAACCCCGATCTGAAGAAGAAGGCTCTAATGCGAGCCCGCTTGGGTGCGCAACGTCAAGTCAAGGGGGAACCGAAGCCGAACACTGACGATGAGTTGCCGGGCCATGATGGTGGCGAGATTCGAATCTGCCAAAAGTGTATCAGGCGCGAGTCGAAGCGAGCTGGGCGGAAGAAGGTCAAGAATGTGGAAGAAGATGAATACTGGCGATCCTTCGAATCGGACAGGATCATTGTGTTCAATGCTGCCGAGATTCAGGAATGGCATGAGCCAAAGCCCGAAGAAGTGAACGCCTACCATGTGGAATTCTACATCAGAATAGCGTGTTATGGCCGGCACCACAACGACAAGAAGAAAGGTTTCCAGGTCATCTTCACCATCGTCGACCACGAAGGCAATTACATTGCCCAACAGCTTTCGTCCCCGATCGTCATTACCGATGACCACAAGACGCGAGACTCTCCGCAAGTGGACGATGAGTTCATTCCGGACCAACCGCAGAATGGCACTGTTAATGCTCCTGCTTCGAACGGACAGCCTACCCCTCCTCCCCTTCCTCACGATATCCAACCACTCAAGCGTAAACAGCCAACTGCTGTACCTCCGGTTGCCGTTACTACGCCTAACCAAGAGATCTCTCAGCCCCCATCGCCGATCAGGCCTATCACAAATTCGAGTAAAAAGAGAAGAGTTGGCAATCTAATCATGACACCGGTAGAAGCAATCGCCCCAATGCCCCCGCAACAGGTATCCAACGCGGCGGCGGTGGCTAAACCAGCCTCATCAGCCTCATCGGCCTTTGTTCCGCCTGTTCAGAGGCACTTTGCTCGGCCTTCAGACGCGAGCCAACAGCAGATTAACCCACCATCCCTCGCTATCGGCGCAACAACGATGTCGTATACTGGCGGCTCGCCGCCTTCAACCGATAACAACGACCAAGCAATGTTCACCTTGCCTGGCAATCAAGGTCTCAATTTCTTTGCCAACCCCACATCAGGAAATCCAAGTCGCGATCCCAGCCCAAGTCATTGGCAAAACACCAATGGCGGTAATTTGTTGAGCCCACTTATGCGGTCAGCAGTCGGCAGTCCATTCGCCACGGCGCCGGCGCCAGCTCCCGCACCGGTTGCTAATCCAATGCCTTCTGTGGAGGCCCCCGTTCCGGTCAAACTGTTCAAGGTAATTCCGCATCAAGGATCGGTTGATGGCGGATTTGAAGTTACAGTACTAGGCGGTGGCTTTTCCCAGGGCATTGTAGTTATGTTTGGCGGGCGACAGGCCACGACGACGACGTACTGGGGAGCAGAATCTTTGGTATGCTTGGTCCCTCCGAGCGACACACCTGGCAAAGTCCAGGTTACCTTCAAGAATCACCAGGTACGGGGTCAACCCGTGTACTTCGAGTATATCGATACAAGGTCCGACGAACTGGCCAAGTCTGCGCTCGCCTGCTTGGCGCAGAAGATGGGCAAAGATGTCAATTCCTTCGCCAACGACCTCATCCAGAACTTCACCAACGAAGGTTCTGGCCCCTCTGCCTCCGGTGCTCCTACCTATAACCACGGTCACTTTGAGAACTACCTCCTCAATGTTATTGAGGCGATTGATCTGGACGACACTCCGAACAGCAAACCGAAATGGAATCTCGCTAGCGAAGCCACGGGAAAGACCATGTTACATTTGGCCTGCTCTCTTGGTCTCCGCCGGTTCACTGCAGGCCTCCTGGCTAGGGGCGCGAACCCTGATAGCCGGGACAATGGCGGTTATACTCCTCTCCACATGGCTTCTCTCAATGGCCATGCTGAGATTGTACGGCTCTTGGTTGCCCATGGTGCTGATCACACGCTCCGAACCTTATCCAGTTTCACTGCTGCGGACGTGGCCAAGACGACAGAGGTTGTCCAGCGCCTTGCAACTAGCCGACTACACAGCAGGTCCCGCAGTCTCGGATCGCTACCTAGCAGGGCTACTAGTACCAGTAGCTTCACGTCACTCCAGCAAACGACGACAGCCATGGCGTCTTTGGCCCTCGAGAGGCCGGTCAGCGAGTCTACAGAGCCAGAAGACTCTTCTTCCTTCATGTCAGATGTCGAGGATTCATCGGAGGACAGTGAATCGACCGATGGCGACGATGAACCCGTTCTCGAAATGCGCCGTAGCAGTCTCGCGTCGCCACCATCAGCCGACGAGAATGTTGCTGAGCGGCAGCGGCCGCTTGTTGATGGTCTTGGTCCTGCTGCTGCTGTTAACGCTATCAGAGAGCAGATGATGGCTCAAATACAGCAGTTGCAACAGATGCTTCACCTCCAGAACCTCCCTCAGCTACCGTTCATGCTACCTCCAGTAGTACACTACATGCCAGCGTTGCCTGGTTACCAGACTGCCCAACGTCTTGCGGCCACTGTCGTCCCAGGAATTACCGCACCAAGGCCAGAACCAAACGCCACGCAACCAACGCCCCTGCCGCCTACATCGAAGGAATCTGCAGGCTGGTTCAACAGTCTGATGAGCAACAACAACAATAACTCTGTTCCTCCACCCTCTTATGATGAGAGTTGTGGCAAGGGTCAGGGCGGGTTCCCAGATGAGAAACAGGCGTCAATCGCGATGGCTGCCGCCGAAGCTGCAGCAGACGAGAAGTGTGCGGCCATCTTTGACCAAGCCGGTAGCAGCAGTATGACGATAGAGGCAACGACCACCACGACACCCGCTGTGGAAATTGACGACAAGACAGGGATTAATGAGGAGGTTGAAGTAGAGACGTCGCTCGAGTTACCGGTCATGCTTGAAATCGGTCGCAAGAATGCCATCACCAAGGAGCAGCAGGAGAACCTACGCAGGGCGCATTCCGTGAAGAAGAAGGAGCTGAGTAGGGACAGGAATCTCTATCTCATCTGGATCCCTCTTCTGCTCGTCACACTTTTCGCAACAGTGTTCAACGAGCATCACTCTATCTGGAACTTTTTACAGATGGCTCTTGAGTACCTCTTTGGGAGTACACAGCCGCTGGAGAATCATGCACCCCATACTGTGATTGGGCAGCCGCAGCCGCTTCAGCCGTTGCAGGAGCCAGTGGGGGTATGAAGGGGGGGTATATTAGATATTGAGTTGAAGTACCTTTGGCGTCGTTTTCGTTCTTTTATTCTTCCGCAAGTCGCCGGGGACCTCTTACGTCTTCAAGGTCGATACAAATCTGTACAGCATTCGTTATGGCAATACCCTCCTCCCCTGCATGGACTGGTATTATGATTCCGACTTGCTCACTCACAATCGCACTTGCACTTGCACTACATACATGTACATTACATATACACTTTGGGTAGAGTCTGGGATATATAGTGGTAGAAGGGAAAGAAGGGTTGGTCGGAAGAGGGAGGAAAGGAAAGAACGGGAAGGCGGAAGCATGCTATGATAACAGCTTCAAGGGACTAATGACTTGTTTGAAGATCTCTTTTTCCAAAGTCTAGTTATTTTCTCCCATCTAAGTTAGAGAAGAAGAAGAGATGAAGGCGATCCAAACATCACTTTGCTTGTAATTGTCTTGGAAAGCAGGGCACAATGGACAGGGGTGGATATGATGAACTGGTGTTGGTGGTTACAGGAACTTGGCGCTTATGAAGAGAAAACTATTAGACCCGACAAGGCTCTTTATCAGTGTACTAGTTTAACCATTGGATATTGGCGTGAACGAGACCTGGATACAATGAATAGAGCGTAAAACTTGGCAGTTTCATTTCCACATACTTTTAGTATCTGCTTATTGGTCTACCAAGGCAAGAAATGGATGCTCTGCCACTGAGTGTCCATTTTTCTCCGGGTCGAAAGCGAAGGGGGAAAACTGTCTGACTAGGTAGTTTGTCGCGTCAAACGAAATGTCCCAGGCGGCCTAACCATATATATACAGAGCTGTTCTTTACTGCCCCTGGGTTCATTTTCTTCGGCAACTTGGAGAGTCGCTAGACTTCCAATCCCAAGTGCTTTGTCAGAACCCTCCTTATCTACCACACTGTCTACCTTTTCGTGCTTATGCGACATGGGCATTACACTAAGAAGTACTCGAACATTTTAGTGTAATAGCCCATCCGCGCCAATTATTTTCTCTGTCTCAAATTGCACGACGTAAGGTTTGTAATCTTCGTGGTCCTCCTCCCCGCTTGTTATGCACACCTCTTACGTAGTGAGATCAGTTGTAGGAGTTGGTGGGAAGCGGGAAGCTGCACACACACGAAACCTACCTACCCACAACCATATATTGGTCCTGATTCCTCCTCTATTTTCACCACTTAGCGTTCCTCAAACACGGTGTAACTTCCATTGTGCATTTGCTCGGTGGTACCCGTTGTCCACCAATCAATGCGGGCCGCCTGCCAGTAGATTCACTCCTTACCCGCACGTAAGGCAGAAAAGGAGAGGACTAGAGAACGGAGAGGTAGGTGGTTCCGCATGAAAGAAGGAGGAAAAGACGAAGACGAGGAAGACGAAGAAAAAGGTGCAGAAGAGTGTGCGAGGTATGGCCAAGCCCTCCTTTAATACATTAATTAGCAAATGGACATCCAGGTGGCATTTTACCTCCAAGGTGCAAACAAGTGCCCATGCATAGGTGCATTCCCACCTATGTAGAGACAGTCTCGCCTAAATATGTCAGCTCCTCACGGAAGGAACCAACAACCGACAACAACCAAACTAAGCCAGCCCGGCCTGCTGGACGGTTTGACAAACACCCAACCCAATTTACCAATCTCACTGCTTGATTTTCGACTCCGTCGTCTGTCAGGAACACAAGCACTGTGATCGCTGTCATAGTATGCCATATGCAGCAGGTGGGGGTGTGTAATATATAATGAGTGTCCCTGACTAGATACTGAGGAAAGGATGGAGGATGGAATATGTGAAACGTAATGTGTAAGGTAAGGCGCGACGCAGTGCGGGAATCTGGAACACAAAAAGGATTACCTCTCGTGAACTTGGCCAATGGGCGAGTTCATTATGATCAAGTGTTGAAGGCAAACGTGGAGTAGTGAGACGTCAGCTCCTTGTTTCATCAATCGTGCAAACTAACTGAAGTGATCTCTCCCGTCTCCCGGTTACCGAAACCCCTCCTCTTATCCCAGCATCGTGGTTTGTTACTACGTACTGAGCTTGTCTTTGTCATTTCAGCACTAGATCAGTTAGCAGAACATCGCACTAGAAGGTTTTTTTTTTTTTTTTTTTTTTTTTTTTTTTTTTTTTTTTTTTTTTTTTTTTTTTTT